TTGGGGAATGTTTCCCACCCACTTTCAGGGGCAGGAGTGGAAGTTGTTGGGGACCTAGGTTATTGACTTACGGGTTTAGAGGATTATAACCCAGCCGGCTAGCCACTTCCTGACTTGGCCGAACACCCAAGGGCAAAGCCCGGACAAAACACGCTCATGAGGCAGCGACGACGCAGTAGCAAAAGAAAAAAGCAAAGAAGCCAACAGGAGACGAACATGCTCTTCAACCTCGCTAAGAAGTTCCACGCATGACCTAGAGCAGCGTGTACACCAATGTCACGATCCACACTCGTGGCTGCGGCCCACGCTTTCCATGGCCTCGACCCGCAAATGGCGGCCTTCTTCGAGCGTCTAGACGCTCCTAAGATGTAGAGTCGTCTGGCGGAATTTCACGCATTTGCCGGGCTTTTTCTCGTACCGCATCGCTCCAAGATCAAGTTTGTAATCAGAGTGTTAAGTGTTAGGCATGTGCGAGTCCGGGATGGCCCAAATTAGATGGGCCTCCACTGTTCTTGGCATGGTTTTGCTGTGTTGCTGCTTTGTGCCATGTGCAATCAACTTGTTTGACCTAGGCGGCAGGGGAGTGGGAGGGCCGCGTTTTTCACTTTGCGGTATTGCAATGCCGCTCAAAATCAAATCAAGGACACTACCAACTTGGGCAAGCAGAACTCACAAAGGTATCTGTTTCCAGTAAAGAGCACTCAGTTGGGGCTCCAATCGTTCCTCTTGAAAGCGATTTATGGTTTCGGAACACCGGGATAAACCCTGTTAGAGTGACAGAGTAGTCATGGAGATGTAAGAACGACTCTTTGGCACATGGGGCAGAATCTTCGCTCCCAACAGGATATAGACAAGTGAACAGGCTTTGGCCTTCTCGTCCTCCCCAGCAACCGACTGCCAGCAACCTTTGTTGCATGTTGCCAAGGGATGTTGAGACTTTAACTTTTTGCCAACGCATGGGTTTTCTGTATTAAACTAGTAACAGTTAAACTTTTAGCTTGGGAGTGGAAAGCAACCGAGCAACATTATCGGTGCACATGTGGCGATATTGTTGATGGGGGAAGTGGCCATGGTTGGCTTCATGCTTTGACTCACCTGCGCTTCAAATCGAAGATTCGCCACCTTGCGAATTGACCAAAGAGAACACCCAAAGGTCAAAAAGGTCGGCCCTGTACTGAGTTGAGTGTTTCCTACTTGGTGTTCTACCAACGCAGTAAATTTGTTTTAACCATGCTGATAGCTGAACTTAGTCTCCTTATACCGTATCGTGCTAAGAACATACCTACTGATCAACTTGAACAGCCAAGTAACAGGGTTGTCCCTTTGGCACAGCGTATTTTTAAGCATTTGCCATGATGATGTTTACATTCTTCACCAGGTGTTTTCATAGTTCAGTTTTGGGTTATTTTGGAAAGCATCAAGCATGGCATAGCCGTGCAAAAGGGTGTTTGTTTGAATGGCGCACTGGTTGGGGGTAAGATCAAGGATTGAGACTAGATGCACATTGACATGTCTGGTGAGTGTTGGTATTGATGTGTCTTTGCAGATGGCTTCTGTCACAACATTGTGACAACAGCTCTGACCGCGCGCGATTCTTCTTTCTTTGTGGTGCAAGGGCACACAGCACCCAACCAGAAATCTCAGTTCAATTTACAAAGTTGTCCGGATCCGCCAGGTGGCGCAAGCGGAAAGCATGACAGCAATGTTGGCAACAAGTTGCCAGGCGCGTGTCGTGCTTGATTTCCGCCCTGCCCGTTGACTTCCCAAATTCAGTCGTTCAGTGGTACCCTTTTTTTCCTTGGCTTCTTGGATTAGTTGTTCACTTGACATTGCCAAACGGAAAGAGATCTGTTGTTGCTCCACGAATGCTGAGTCAACTTGGAGTGCCATGTATTGCGAAGAAAGTGTCGACTCACTTTATGTTGCATCACGGAGGGATAGACGTGGAGATGCGGAGCACAAAATTAGATCAATGTTCATCTTTTTGGGAGCTAGTCAACTCGCATGTGGAGGAAAGGGCTTTAAATGTTTTTCCGGTTCCTTAATCCCAGATTCTGTTCGCCCACCGTTCTTCTGAGAAACCACCCGAAGATATGTGGGTGTTTGCATGCCGTTTTCTGAGAATATGTCGATGACTAGATGCACATTGGTTGGGAACAGCTACTAGGACACAGGGTCCATCTGGGTCTCGGTTGCAACATGGGGATTCTCGATTTGGTTTGTCTCGAAGCATACGCTTCCCACGCACCTAGGGGGATCGTGACAAAGCTGAGGTAGCCATGGAACACTGGATCAAGAAGCAGAGGACTGCTTGAGTCAGTCATTGCAATGCAACACCTGCCCACAACTCTCACGGATCGCTTCATCTGACTCAACTCTTGGCTCCATGTCGGCACAGTTCCTGGTGGTTCCTTGCGTTGGATGGTTTTCAAGATCGCCTTAACCAATTCGATCTGAGCTTCTTTGAGGTGGGGTTATGTTCGGGAACGGGGTCTCGTGTGGACAAGCCTTCTAAGAATCTGAGAACTTGAGAGGAAGTCGGTTGTCCAAGTGCCCCCTCAAAGGTGCTATGTGTTCGCTTGTAGTGTAGCATTTGCCAAGCTCCCACAAAGCAAAGAGCCCAACTGGCACATGCTTGAGCGTCCCTTTGTTTTCCTTGTGGTAGCTTGAAACATGGAGTCCTGTTGCCGGTTTGAGGTGATCTTCCTTGGGTACTGTTTGAAGGGAATATGGCTCACTTCCCGAGTTCCTGGACTTTCAAGTTTTTTTTTGGAAGACCACTTTAATGGTAATCAGAAAGTTTGTTTTTTTGGGCCAGTCCACTTAGGAAGTCAAATAGGGAAGCCCAAGATAAGCCAACACACCCACAGAAGAGCTGCTTCCATGGACACCTGAAGGCGACCTGACAGCGGATACGAAGACCGCGATGACGGAGGCTGAGCTCGGGAGGGCGTGGGGGGGCTGACCGCGTCAGTTGGCTGAACCAGACCGCCCCAATAGGAGTCGCCTGAAGCAATGAGTAGACATGTTTGAACATTGGTTGGCCAGACCCTGGAGTTAGCCCCAAAAGAAGATATGGACAGGATTCCACAACCTCCGTTTGGACCTCACTTCGGATTTGGAGTCCTTGTTAACGGCGACCTTTTTTTGGGACGGGGCCCAAAGGATCACAGGAACGCCCGGCCATCGAGGGGTCAGGAAGAATCGGTCCGGTCACTGAGGATGGACACCTTGGCGAAACAAAGGGATCCGATCCGTGCAGCGAGATTTGCACTTTTACCGGATCCTTTCACTGGATCCTTTTACTGGATCCTTTTACTGGATCCTTTTACTGGATCCTTTGACTGGATACTTTTGGAGGTGTTATACGGCATCCCGATCACCGTCGCACCTATCCATCCGCATGGGGTCTCCATCCGGGATCATGATCTTCTAAATAGACTCGCGGGTCTATCCTACTTTCCATAAATGTCTTTTTTCGGAGTTGGTCCCCCCCGTTCTTGTGGCTTTAAAGGGAAACCGAAAGGACATCCACCCACTTCTGGGGTCCAAGCCCCAATGACATGCCCATGTTGCGGCTGGGATGCTGTGGGAAAAAAAATACTGACACTGGGACGCAGCCAACCTCATACCCAGGAGGATTCGGATGTTTGTCTTTGTTAGGGAACCTTTGCTAGGTGGTTCCCAGTCATCCACTTAGCTTTTTTAAGGGTTTAGAGGTAGTTTCCACTAAACCACTAAAAGTTAGACTTTTAGCACGGGATCTGGGAGAGCCCAGTTTTGTTGGTTGTTCTTTAAAGGAAAGCAAGAGGAGCCCGAACATTTTGGGGGATCCCTGCATTTTGAGGCAAACTTTTCGGTGAAAGTGAAGGGCACATCCTCCCCATGTGTTTTTTGTTTATTTAATCTTGCCCATTTGGGGTTGTCATTTGGGTGTACACTCCCTCAGACTAACATGGAAGCTGTCCCCATTGGCCTTTGCAAATGGAACCAAGTTTTTGTTCAAAGGGGTGGGAGCTTGCACGTTAGTGGGAGGGGTGGCCTTGTCACCTTGCGTCCAGTGCTTGGCCGGTGAGCAGCGCCCAAGACCGATTCTCATTGGCCATGTTTGGCGGTTGAAGCTGCAAGCCACGAAGATATGGGTATGGGTCAAAATAGAACCACCAGGAATTGGACCGCACGTTATAGTCTTTGGTTCCAGATACCAGGGCAAGCCATGTTCGGTACGCATTCTTGACCCACAGCGATGTGGCTATACATTTTAACGGTTGGAACCCCTGAAAAGTGGTTGGTGGACATGAATTGCCCAAATGATGTCAAAGGGTCCCTGAGTACGATTCATACCCAATATAGACCTTCATCACCAGTACAAGTTACTTAGTAGAACCAACAGTCAATGAGTTTGGGCGCCGCTCAGGGGAATGCCCGCGCACATCATCGCACATCCTGCTCGACTCACTCCATGAGTTCCTAGAATTTAGTCAGTTTGGTCCATGTTAGTGGCAAACAAAATGCTTGCACTTGTTCTGGCCAACCCAGTCAAGAACTTAGCTCATACAATCTATAGATTACATTAGATTAAACTAGATTAGATTAGATTAGATGGATGGATGGATAGATAGATCGATAGATAGATAGATGGATGTTGCATGAGCCTGTGGGTCTGCCAAAAGAGTTGAATTCCGTTGATTGCTCAATCTCAATCACCGACCAACCACCACCCAACAAGTCCCGTCCGTCAAATCTGCAGACTTTGCATAGAACCACTCTTGGAAGTGAACCACCAACTTGAACACATGCAATTTTCAGCCAACATCACAAACCGGAAAGCAAGCTAACCAGCCAAAGTCAACGGTTCTTAGGCCCTTTTACTTGAAGTCAATGGTTCTTAGGCTCTTTCAACTTGACTGACCAGACACAAGCCCCACAAAAACGGAGGGTCCAACTGGACGCATTTTTCTTTGCCGCGTCCTTCGGCCTTCGGCTCGGGGCCGTGTGCCATGGGCAGCTCTCTGACGCGGATACATCCCGTGGAGGCGGGAGCTTTTTGGGCGCGCTCGGATGGATACGGCGTTTTTTGGGGCGTTATCTCGCAGATTTTTTTTTTTATTTTATTTTTATTTTATTTTTTTTTTAACATATGTTTTCCAGTCATGGTAAGGATTCTATGCTTACGGGGTTTCTTCATTGCATGGCCAAAAAACAGCGCCTTTTAGGAAAAAGCATGTACAACTACCGGAATGCGGTAAACAAAACAGCCGGAGGAAACGAAAAACGCCGCCGATCCAACAAAACAGCCGGAATGCTGATTGTGGGCGGGCATGTCTCTGACTAGCTGAAGCCCCTGAGGAGAGTAAGCCTAGTCGACTCTGAGCTACACAGACAAAAGCTGTTGTGTTTTGTCCAGTGGCAAACAACAAATTAGCGACAAACAGTTGTCGGCTTACTGCCATCGAGGCACACATTTGGTGACACACGTTTCTGTAGTTGTGCCATTTTATGCGCATGCGACAATTTCAACTGCCCGGACGAAGGACGCCCGTTTGGCACCGCCGCTTTTGTTCCAAAGGTCGCCCAAGCTCAATATGCACCACTGAAACGCACGAAGGATCAAGCAGGCCCGAGAGTTTCAAAGTTCCTTTTGTTGATGACGTGTCCTTAATTACGGCGCCGGCCAAGCAAGTGGTGACACCTTGACAGGCTCATAGACTGAAAGAAACACGTAGACAAAAACCTCCCAGCTGAGGGCAAGTAAGGATTCTCAGGTTCACAAAAAGGGCGCCCGCGGCAAAAAAAACGGGAGAAAAAAAAAAAAAAAAAAAAACGGATCGATCCCACGACCTGGGTCATGGAAATCCGCCTGTGGACGCAACCAGGCGCCTTTTTGAGGCTCTGGCTGAATTTTTTTGGCCGGAAGGAGTTTGCAGGTATCCAAAGAGATGTCCAAAATCCAACCGCAAGAGCCCCCCAAAAGTCACCCCAACGTCGCCCCCAACGTCATCTCCCAAGACATTCCCAAGACGTTCCAAAATCCAGTGCGAAAGACATCCCCAAAATATATTTAAAATTCATGAGAAACCCCCAAACGACATTTCCAACAGCTCCCCGCCCCAGGACATGCTCAAACGAAGACCCCGTACTTGCTGCCAGCGACATCCCCATTGACAACTCCCAAGACATCCACAGTTATCCCCAAATACATCCCCAAAGATATCCTCCTGAGGCATTCCGCCAGGACACCTTCCAGAGACATCCCCGAAAGTCATCCCTGAAGACATCGCCAAGACATTGCGAAATCTTACAAGGACATCCGCACAAGCTCCCAGAGTATCGCGCCGACCACGGAAACTGCTCGCCAAGCTCTAAAGTGTTGCGCTTGCCGCGAAATCTGCGAGCCTGTTTTCAACTTACTGCGACTGTCACGAAATCTGCAAAAGTGGTGTACCTGCCACGAAATCTGCACACCAAGCTAAAGCGTTGCGCCTGCCACGAAATCCAACTTTGACACGTTTACCACGCGCATCCAAAAGTTGTTGACAGATTTTGACAAACCCTGAGGGTCCAAATCCGTAACTACAAGGTACTCAACGGAATCTGTAATATTCGCGTGTTTTGGCTCAACATGTCAGGAGCGCGGCTTCGGGGCGAACAGCCGTGAATATGACATGTTGCACCGTGTTGCACCAAAATTCAGCCATCCCCTTAGCGGAAGAGCGTTTTACTCTGACAGCTTCACTTCATTAGCAACCGCGGCATAGTTGCATCATAACCTTTGGTGATCAGCTTGTCTTGGGGGCATGGGGTTGCTCAAGAAGGACTCTTGCGCTCTCTAACACGTCAACCCACCCGGTCTAGGCTGCGGTTGTTGAAGAAAAATATCGCGCGGTAAAGTCGTGTTCGATTGAAACAAGTTGCGTCCAAAGCCGTGCCGGCGCAGTTGTGGGAGTTAGATGGGATTAAACTGTGTCAAATCGCACTAAACCTCATAATGTACATTAGTTTAATGTGTGAGTGCTGTGCCATGCGAAAAAAGTTTCCACACATCACGCGATAAAGTTGCGTTAAATTGCGGTAAAAAAGCCGTGAATGCCAGCTTCCGGGTGTTCCATGTCGTTAAATTGCGGCACCAGTTCTGGGAAACGTATTTAATGCGCGAGTGCTTCGATGCCACCAGGGTGATTCTGATGCACTGAATGATGTTGCGATATCGGTGCTGCACTTTTGACAAGAAGCACTTTCCCCACGACTGTTCTTGCCGGACATGGTGAAGACATGTGTAACATTCGGCAACAGTCCCTCAGCTTGAAACAATGCAGAAGGTAGTTTGTCGCTACTCAGGCATTAAGATCTTTGCGCATCTTTGAGCATCCCGAGGCTTTTGACCCGCAAAACCCCGCTTTAGAGGCGAATGTATGACATGTTACCTTAGGCAGTGCTTCTGTGTGCCATCCAGCGATGAACGTATCGCGTGGTCTGCGCTGGGTTTGTGTTTCCAAATGGCTTCAAAATGAGAATCCGCAATATTTACGTACTCGGGCCCAGGAGTGTCAGAAGCACGGCTTTTTCACGGAAGTACCTCAGTATAGAGTACTTGGACCCTTAGGGAAACATTATTCGCTCACCCAATGGAGCAGGGCCAACGAAGAATGACATTGGTGCAAACGCTTGCACGGGCATTCCACGGGAGACACCTCAAAGCGACCACCCCTGAAGCTGAGGCGCAAATCACAATGGCATGGCGACTAAACGCGCAACGTCGCACAAGCTACGATCTACGTACAGGCGCAATGAATGCAACATGTTGCCAGTCTTACAAATCGCAGATTCCGGGCCTTCCCCAGCGGCACGCCAAATCGCGGACGGTTGCGAAGGGTTGCGAACGCTTGCGCGACACGTCGCAAATTCACACTGCCTCCTCCCCCGGAAGTCCCAGTCCCACTAGACAGTGAGGCATGCACGAAAAACGAGGCAAGACAGGCAAAACAAAGACATTGTTGAAGTGACGTTCGGTGAATTTTTCTGGCAGTCTGCGGTGTTGAGAGAAATGGATATAGGGGACGAGCTCTAAGATTCGCCACAAAACCCAGGGACTTGCAAATTTGCTCCAGCCAGTCGTGGGGCTGGTGTCCCCTTTCAGGGGTGTACTGTGGGTCACTTTGGGCCAAAGAGCGCAACCCGGCAGTCGCCCAGCGTTTCGTCCCACTGCAGGCATCAACAGCCACAAGACAATCGAGCGGGAACTGGTAGAGTTTGCATGACGACGATGTCCAGGCATCTTATCTTTTGGCCCCAAAGCTCATGTGTCCACGGCTCTGGGAACCTGACCGACACCCTGGCCGCAGGTCTTGTGCGAGATTTTTGCTCCGGCGCCGCCACCGCCACCGCCACCGCCGGAGCCGGAAGCGCCCTGCAGCAAGCGCCTGGGTCGCAGGTCGCAGCGCGCCGGGAGCACAACGTAGGGAGGTTCTGCAAATGGAGTCTTTACATGGTTCTGGGTTCACCATGTTTGTACCAGGTTTTGATTCTGACTCATTTTGAATTGGAGCTTTCTTTCTGGCGCCTGTTCAATAGGATTGGGGTTGAAATCGTAGGATTGGGTATGAGAGTGGGCTGTTCAGTTGGGTTAATCTGCGAGATCATGGATTGGAATCCAGTCGTTCGGCTCTTCGGCAGCCACCTTAGGACTTTTGCCTCATTCATCTCCCCAAAACAACGAAAGCCATTGGGAGGGCAGGAAACAAGGAAGCCAATGACAAGAAAACGGCCAGCATCAAACCAAATTCCCACAGGGGACATCAAGGGAAACATGGCCTCTCTGTCTTTGTTGGGGAGCCTTCTTTGAAATGGTGCTTGAGGGAGGCCACAAGGAAACCTGACCCAGGAAAGAAGCATAGGAGACTTTCTTTTCGGCTCTAGGGTAAGGGAGGCACACATTCTCAGCAATGTGCCATGCAGCATGTGTCCAACTGTGCAACCTATACCTGTATGAAGTTTGTAGTTGTTTTGACATGTGGCTTGGACGAATGTCCAAGATGACCCCCAAACCTTTCAAACTCTGCGAACTGTCCCAGGAAGAAATCGGTTGCTGGAGTATCGCTCATTAGTTGGGAGTCGTCCAGATGGAGCACAGGCTCGACTGCAGTTTCCCTTCGCAAAGTGGAATCGGGATACTCAAGGAATCAAGGGCTGATTGGTGTTTTCTATCCCAAAGTGGAGTCGGGGCTTTACTTGAACCAGAACGGGAACTGTACTGAAATGTCTCCCAACGAGGCGTCAAGTCAAATGGATACGTCATATCCATGGATAGCCCTCACTGATTAGAAACCAACTCATCGAAGAACAACTCACTTACCCTTGCGGGCCGCTTGTCAAGTGCTATTTGATCCTTGGGGGCCCAAGAGTTGCACAAGCAACCCGAGACCTTGCCCTTAGCTGGTAAGGCTTTGTTTGGCTGCAAAATTCAATTATTCCTCGCAGGGCGTCGTTTGGGCGTGGTTGATAGGATCCCTCTGAGGGGGTACATGACGATAAACACCCTGGGTACGCTTGATGTTCTGCTTTTGTTGCAAGTAAACAAACCACAAAGTATGGTGGACATCAAGGCACCACTGCTACCACCGCAAGCACCCCCCCACCTATTTTGGTCATCATGCCACGTAGGTCCATGTGGGCTTGCGATATTTGGCACTTGATGACTTTGCCGGGTCCCTTTTTGTTGAGGTAACCTCAACACACAGCTAGTTTCTCCGGTGTCCGGAAAAAAAAAGAGAGAGCAACTCCATGAGTGATTGGTTCCCGGCTTTCGGGTTCACGGATTGGGTTTTCAAAGTTGGAGCCCAAACAGTGGCAGGTCTGTTCATGGGTTAGGAGCCCTTTCCGGGTTGGGAGTTCTCAGAGTCCCGGTTCCCAAAGGCGTTGGACCGCAGGGGCCGAGAAAAGTGGCGAACAGGGCCGCAACAGGGCTGGATGCCTCGCACAGACTTTGCGTTCTCTTGCCCAGGCCTGGGCTTTCCCTAACAGGAGACAGGATCAAGTTCCCCTACCTTGGGTTTTTCGATTCACGCTGTTCCCATTTGCTAGTGGATTTCCCCAAGAAGTCAAGGAATGGCAGTGGGTTGTCCCGGGTTTGTTTGCTGAAATCCAGAGGTCAATAGGCTCGCCCCGCTTAGGGCCACATGGCCCTGTTGGCCCTCGCCCAGGGAAGGTGACAGCTTCTTCGGCAGCTCGATGGATGTCTGTCCAGCGGGGTTTTCGGCTGGCCTCGTGTGGTTGTTTTCCTCCGCTCACCTGGTCCAAACCCCACCTTTTGTCCTATATCTGCCCACCTTTCAGTCCAAAACTAGGTCCCCCAGTTGTGCCCTTTTACCCTGTTTTTGGGGAGGGTGCCCCTACTAAAATAGACTACAGAAAAAAGGGCACCGTTATTCTAACCTCTCTACTGGAGGACCTAGAAAAGCTTTATCTGGGGGGCAACTGATCAAAGTTTCTGCCCCCCCGTTTGCAGGTGGTCCTTAGTTGGCGATTTCGATTGCTTCAAGGATTTGAATCCCTGGGTCTAGAGTGTAAATGGGAAACCACTAATCAAACCACCAATCCAAAGCACCAAGCTACCAAACCAAGCCACCTTGAATTGGAGTGAAGCTGACCAGTTCTTCCTTCAGGCCGCAAGAGGCGCTAATGCCTGTGCCAGGGAGAATGTATCTTTGCAAACGCCGGGCTGGAGGCGCCATACTTTTTAGGGCAAAATGGAGGGGGGGGTCGAAGATGGTTCTCCCGTGGCCAAGAAATGGTTTTGAGTTGGGCCCGACAGTGCACCTCACCCTCGCATCGCCATGGACACTACCAGAAGGTCCACTTGAGAGGAAGATAAGATGGTCCACCTTCAGTCAGGTTTTCTCTTTGAGAGGTCCTTTTAAGACTACCTTGTTGAACACATTTGTATAGCCTAAAGAAACCTACGCTTTACTCGGATAGATAGTCATAAGATCTCAGATGAAGAAACTTGCACATGAATAACAAGCAGTTTTACGAGAGAGGACCATATGGGACCCCGGTTGCACAGGGAACCCAATAGGAAGCCAACCAGCCACCTGGAGGAGGAAAGCGCTCCCTCAATTTGAGAAACATTTCAGCACGGGTAACCAGCACGCGTTGCAAAGCCTCCCTCATCAACAGTCCGACGGAACGCAGACTTTTGCTGATAGTGTGTGGTGTGAAGTAGAGGAAAGTGCTTGTTGCAGACCATAGTCAGGATGCACGGCCACGTTGTGTTTTTAACAGATCTCGGAGCTGGGGCCGACCGTGGATGCAAGTGCAACAGCCAATTTTCAATAAGGCGGGTGGATTCGGCATTGCATTTGTGAGAGGCGGTGAGTGCTTTCACCTAGGTCGTGCCAGCTTAGCCTCTCCAGACGCAACTGCCACATGCGCAGCCCATAGGAAGCTTCAAGTCAAGGTGTGGCCCAGCTCTTATCCTTTTTGCAGATGAGGGTCACCACGCAGAGTTGGGCGGACTGCCTGAGGCGGCGGGTGCCAGTAATGATCGAAGTGCAGAACCCGGGCGCCGGACCTGCAGGCACACCTTCCCGGAAGGTGCCAGCCTTCTCGCGGGTGACGCAAGTAAGCAGCTGCCAGTCTATGAGATGATGCTATGTGTCAAGGTTTGGCCGGAAGACCTCATCCCCTCATGCCATATGAGGGTCATCGCTTTGGAGAGTTGGGCGGAATCATGCAGCGGGTGGCGGGTAATATCAATGACGATAGGGGCCCAATAAAGAGTTGCAGGCTACACAGCCTGCAGGCGCTCGCGCGCGGGCGCAAGGGACGCGTTTTGGACGTGGCGGTGTATTTCTTTTGTTATGTCAGAAAACTCGCTGTTAAAGTTCACAGCCTGGCCACCAAGTCATCTGTGCGGCACAGGCGTGAGCGGGTTGAGACCTGGCTTGGCTAGATGTTTTCGGGGGAACTCACGACTACCTGGGGCCTCAAACGACTGCCGTTTTTTGGTTGCGGTACGGTGCGATTATTTTTTGCTCGCACGGCCATTTTTGTTGGAACGACCATTTTCTTTTCAATCGTGCTGAATGCCTGCCATGCATGCTGCTGAGGCAAGGGGACACTACGCAACTTACCTGCCAAAGCCTACCGAAGTGGCCGGCTGTGAACATTGGTTTGTTAGAACTAACGCATGCTTGACAAGAATTGGGTGTGCAGCATGCTGCTGCTACTGAAACGACCAACAATTTTCATGCTGCGACGTTTTTTTTTTTTTTTCATACAGCTGTTTTGTTGCAATCAACAACCGTTTTTGTTTTTCCTGTTAAACGCCCGTCTTTTTTCTCGGACCACGACCTGTTTTCCTTACAACGACCGCTTTTTTCTCATGATGCGACCATTTTTGTGGCATGTTGCGACCGTATTTTTCCGTACAAAACTCGTACAAAATCCGTACAAAACCGCACTAAGCCGTACAACAGCGCACAGAGCCGTATTTAAGCTCTGACCGCTATATCGCAACGATGTTAGGGGGCTGCAGTTGCCATGATGATGATTGTTGGTCCAATGCGAAAATTCATTTTTTCGTACCGCGACTGTTTTTTTGTCGCGCGGCTAAAACACATGGTCTTTCGAACCGTGACCAAACAACGGCAGTCTTTTGAGGCCGCAGGTAGTTAAAATTGATGGCAGCAACGTCAGCCCTCGGCCAGTTGGCCTGAGGATTCGTTTTGCTGATTCCCTGGCCATCGCAACTGCCGTGGCCGTCAAAGGAGGTACGCAAGCAGGGTTGTCATGGCTCAGATGTCCAGTCCGAGGCATCCCCGGGTATTCCTTTCTGGTGGTGTGGCTCACCGTGCTGCAGCTTGGCGACTAAGGGTGGGCAGACGCGCCTTTTGGAGCTAAACGGGGGGTGTTTCTGTTTGTGCCCTCAGAAAGCTATCGCTCACACACACACACAAATATAAAAGCACAGAAACAAACACACGCACACATCACGATGTCTCAACAATCACACCAGTCCATGGTTACACCATAGTGACCTCACCAACCGGGGTAACACGAGCTTGTCTATGGGAAAGACCCTTTGCGTGCGGTTTTTCGGGTTGCAGAAGGATGGCATTTCATCAGGCTTGGTGAAGCGCGTCTTGATTTCTTCGTTGTTCTTTTGGGAGGGGCATGTTCGCTTGGAGAAGCACGAGCTCACATTCACCAGGACTCATACTCATGTTTGATGGTTGCAACCGGACGCTGCTTGCGCCGGTGGATCGGTCGCTGTGTTTCATGCACCGAGCGCCCACTTCTGGCCCGAGCAAGTCGTCCCCGCCCAAAGCAGGTGGTGCTCGACGGAGAACACGCTCAGAAGCCTCCCTTCCAAATGATCAAGATTCAAGATGATCAAGACACGGCGATTGAACATGATCGAAGGGTGTCTTTTCTTACCTCTTAAAACCACAACTTTTCAACTTTTTGGGTAACATGGGCTATATGTCTGTAAAAGGTTAACTTCCCCAATCCTTGGAGTTTTAAGGGGTAAGTTGTTGTTTCCCGGAAGGGCCAAGAAACCCCAGCTTGTGCCAACTGGTCGAACGGGAGCAATGCGAAGGGACTTCGGCGCACTGATCGGGAGACGAGCGAAACCCATGTGGATGTGTTCATTGAACCGGATCGCATAGTTCAGATTTTTGAATGGAGGCATTCGCAGAAGTTTGAAGACTGTGGCTCCATGTGAGGGGAAGTTCTTTGGTTCTCCATGCGAGACAACAAACAAATGTTGCTCTGATTTGTCTGACATATTTGCCCTGATGTATTTGCCTAATTTATTTTTCACTTGTTTTATTTGACTGATTTATTTGGCTGATCTATTTGCCCTGATTTATTTGACCGTGTTTCCAATCTTTGACTGACGTGAGACCCCTTTGTGGCATAGACTTCCTGGCCCGCGCGGCGCAACCCGCGCGGTTGCCATGTCGCTGGACACGATGGCGGATGCACTGCGGCGGCAGTGGGGCTGCTTTGCGCGAACAGAAGGGGGGGGAATGGGTGGGGGGGGGGATGGGGGGAGCCCGGATCTGACTGGATTTTTTTTTTTGTTTCCGGTGGTATACTTGTTGTTGGGTGTGTTTTAAAGAGGGATGAAATCACCAGGAAAAAAAAGCAGCACCAGCAATTTGGGGGTCCAACCTAACAAAAGACACACACACAGGCCGTGGTTGTCAAGACCGTTTTGGGATCCCATTTTGGGGGTTGTGATCCATCATCGTAAAAGTCGGGCGGAAAGCCATGCAGGCCACCCAAACAAACTTGTTTCTGCCTTTGTACTGGGTTTGGTGGGTCGAAGGTTTTGAAAACAAGGGTCCTTTTGGGTCCGTAGATCCAACATGGGAGCCGCTGGTTTTTTGTCCCAAGAATGAGTCACCCTGGCCACCCAAAGGGCCTGTCTGCCACCAAAAAGGGGGCTTTAAACAATTCACAGCACATTCCCCCTTCTCAGGCCCCTTTTGTTTTGTCGACTCTTTGTGGGGCCGCAACAAAGGTTAGCCTAAGGCTTCGTTGCGAATATTGCAAGCTTTCAGCAGATATCCCTTGACGAGACTTTTTGAGGTAAACCTCCGAGGGATGAAGGGGTACACCAGGCTGGGTGCTAAACAAGTGGGTACCTCCGAAAAAGACACACTTTCAATGAGCAACCAAAAGATGAGCAACCAAAAAAGGTACTGGTAGTCTCTATTGTGTTGGGCTCTTGGGGAAGGAATTCATGTTGTTTGCTATCAGGGCTTCTCAGCCAGTGCCACGTGGTGTTCTGATATTGCCGTGAGTTTTAATAGGGAACCACCTCAAGAGCGGTTGGTGGGCGTGACTCCCCCAAAGGTCCCTCATTAAAACTCACACCCTTATGACTTGCTGGTGCTCAGAATGAACCTAGGGACCCAGTTAAAGAAAGGGGATAGGTTACAGGGGGTCATTCCCTGTCCCTATTCCCCGCTCAGATCTAAGGGTGGAAGTACATACCCCTTGTTCATACCCGGTGGTTTGCGGGGTTTCCAACCCACTTTACAAGGTATGTGCCCCTTTTGGGGGGAGGGGTATGAACATCAGGCCTTTTGGGTTCATTTGTCCAAGGGGTATGTAAAACACAAGCACTGGATCAGAAGCAGCCTATCACCAGCGGCGCCATATTCGGAGGCAGCCTGCTGCGCGCCTGGCTGCTGGAGCTGGGGGACACTCGCGGACCAGCGCGCGCCGCGTGCCTGGAGCAACTGGGGGCGGCGCACGGCATCGCCTTGGAACTGAGAGGCGCAGGGAGGGACTCGGGTGCCAAAGGCTGACGCAAGAAGACTCCTTGCCATGACTCGTGCCAAATCGTTTCCATAATGCTTGGATGCAGCTGGTTAGGACACCCTTTATCAGGTACGTTACACCTAGTTATTTGACGCGGTTGTTTGTCGAGTAGGTCAAAGAAAGTTGTTCTTCGAAGCTACCGAAATAATCAACCCACGAGGGTAGACCATGGGTATGTGGTCCTTGTGTGTTCCGTTTGTGACCAAATTTGTACCCTTGTGCCAATTGGGTCGGAGCGTTGCTGCTACCTCTTAGGTTCACTGCCCCGGTTCGAATCAATCATACCTGCAGTGGGTTCTCAAGCGAAAAAAAGAAAAGAAACTAGGTTTCCCAGTAGTGCCCTTTTACCCTTTTTTGGGGGAGGGTGCCCCTACTAAAATAGACTACAGAAAAAAGAAACGGTACCCTTATTCTAACCTCTCAACTGGAGGACCTAGGAAAAGAAATCATAGTACAATTTTGGATAGGACCAGAAAGCCGATTCGCCTCAGGTGCTGCACCCAGCTTCGAGGAGTTCGCCCCGGAGGATGGCTTGGAGACTCCCGAGCTTTGGGTTGGAGAAAGCTCAAGGTTTTCAACTACCTGAGGCCCCTAAAATGTCCTTTTTCAGCACCACCTGGAAAAATGATGGTTTTCAACTAGCTCTTGCGTTAAAGTTAGTTGTCAATGTTTATTTTGTCGTTTTCTGCCAGATCCAACATGAGTCCCCCGCAAATCCACTCCGGATGCGTTTGAAGCCCAGTTCTGCGAGTCTCGCAAAGGCGGAAATTGGTTTGGTGCGGTCTCTGGCGGTCGCAAAGGCGGTCTTTGGCTTCCGTTTGCGCGATGGGACCAACCATTTTTTTGTAGCTCACAGAGAGGTCGGCATTTTATGGAACCACAGGACTGTCGGGCGAGGTCTGGCTCAAATCTAAGGTTTCCCGCCTCATCAAGGCTTACTAAGACTTTCTTGGTTGAGGGTTTGTGGGGGGCGGCCCCAAAACCTAAAAGTCCAGAACATGAAAACATGGCGGCTCCCAGCCATACCCAAAGACGCCCAAAGACTTGAAGAGATTGAGAGTCTAGAGGGTTTTACGGGTTCCAAGAATTTCCTGTTTAAGGTGAGCTTCACTTGGTAGGTGTGATGCTTTGAGGCGCAATGTAGGGAACTCTGATATATGCCATGCCCCACAAGTTTCAGCTTTATCCAGGATCAACGAACTAGCACGCCACACATTTGCGCAATTGTTTGATTCACAAATCCGAGACCCTGCACTTTGACAGACAGATGTTGGGAGCTCTTCCGCGCTATAGCCACCGAGCGTTGAGTGTTTTAGGGGTCAAAGTTTGAAAAAACGGGGAGCTCACCTTGCCATTCATCTTAGTAAAGAACCTCCAAAAAGGTTGGACATCAATCCCCATGCAAGCCATGTCCACGGGGTTCCCACTCCAATTTGGCTGTGGGTCAAAGCCAATGGTACCATTTTGGGGTAAGTGCACCACCCATTTTACTATTTTAGTGGGGATTGGGATGTTCACTGGTGGTACGATTTGGATTTAGACCCAATTTTGTCGCCACCTGAAAGGAGGCGGCGAATTGCCAGACCTTCCTGGCGTCGCATGACGGGGAACTGGAGACGTTGTGGCAGCTGCTGGCTGTGGGCCAGCCTTGCCTGGAGCGCCGGCAGCGCCCAAGCGGAAGACTTTCAGTGCCGGTCTGGCTGGTTCAAATTGGCTGTGGCTCAAAACATGGGGCCGGAAGTGGAACCAAAGAGTAAGACCTGTGTAGCCCCAGCTATTTGATTTTTCAGCCACACCCAAATAAACTTGGTTCTTTGAGGGCTCACTGCCTGGTCTAGACGGGTCGTGACCTTTTTGTGAAGGCTGTTTTAAAGCGCAACCAAGAGGCAAACCGCCATTTTTGGGCTCCCAATGTGCCCAAATGGCCCCTGTCACAGACCTCCCTCGCCTAAACAAAAGTTTACGCATGGAGCCTTTAAGGCGGGACGCGTTTTGGCAGGTAATCCAGTTTTCGCAGAGTTCCCTTATTTGCCTTTCTGGCGGTTTTGAAGATCCGTTTCACCAAGAACACTTACCACCAACTCGTTGTGCCATTTGTTGATGGTTCCCCCACCGAAGCTGACTTTTTCCTCACAATGGGTGCCCGTTCTCCTGCCAGCGTCACTCCATAGGTCTATGTATATATATATATATCCCGACGGGTGCACTTGCAGGCGCTCTCTCGCCTAGGCGCCGCGCCTTTTTCATCCATCCAGCCTTGCTTTATTGGCCATTTTCAGGGCTGAGACCAGTGCGCAGCCAGAAGTCAGTGGGTGTTCTTACCATTTGGCTGGCATGTGTGCAGTGCTGAGCGAGTGCACGTGTGCTTACCATGTGCCAGGCATGGGTACAGTGCTGAGATGACGCGCGTGAGCGGGTGTGCTTACCATGTGCCACACATATGTACATTTGAGCGACGCGCGCGTGGGCAGGTGTGCTTACCCTGTGCTAGGCATGGGTACAGTGCTGACATGACGCGC